AAAGAAAAAGGAAAAAAAGAAAAAAGGAAAAAAGAAAAAAAATTTTAAAATTTATTTTTTATATTATTTTTTTATATTATTTTTTTTCCACATCATCACTTTTTGGCTATATTATCTTCCATGTGGACTATTATATGACATGTCATTTGATAACCGTGAAGTAACATGCCACGTCACACAATTTTTAACGGAAGGATCAAATTGGGGTAAAAATGGTAAACAGTAGGGACCAAATCAGGGATTTTTTTAGTTCAGGGATCAAATCGAGGGTCCGTACAATAGTTGAGGGACCAAAAAAAGGTTTTAACCAATTAGATATTGACTGTGTGGTACAACAAATGTAATTACCCTAAATTACCGTATTAAACGGTCGGCAACCATCAATCAATTTTCATCAAATAGTACGACAATGATAATAGAAATCCATTATCGCAGATTTGCGGTTGCCATGAAAAATGGTGGCAGGCAACCGCGCCGACTGTTTGCCCAGCCTTAGATAAAGTAAAGGACAAAATTTCACAATTATGAATTATGAGGAAGAAATTGGACGGTAAAAATTAAAGAATTTTTTTATCTTATACTTTTAAGTCAAATATTAATAATGTAATAAATATATTTTTTATAATTAATTTATATAAAAATAATAATAAATTAATTTTTATTTTAATATTATTATTTAAATAATTTTAATTAATTAATTAATTTTAAATTATTTTTTTTATTTTTATATAAATTAATTTTAAAAATATATTTATTATATTTTTAATTTATTCCCTAAAAATATAAATCAGACAAATCTAAAATTAAAAGGAATCACATACCCCGTTTTTCTCTCTCTTTTGCAGTATCAATAATTACAGGCAATGGGCCCAATCACGTTGTGGCCTGGTCGCACATGTATGGCAACTAGGGATCAATAATTGCAGGAGATGGGGCCAATCTCTTTCTCTCTCTTTTTACAGGATCAATAATTACAGTCAATGGGCCCATCCATGCTGCGCTCTATTCACGCACAGATGGCAGCAAGGAATCAATAATTGCGGGAAATGGGGCCAATAAATTTATGGTTAAAACCCCTTTTTGGTCCCTGAACTATTGTATGGACCCCCGATTTGGTCCTGAACTAAAAAAATCACTGATTTGGTCCTTACTGTTTACCATTTTTACCCCGATTTGGTCCTTCCGTTAAAACCTCACCGTTATCTCACGACAATTTAATGACATGTCAAACTTTGAGACACGTCAGTTGTATAAATGAATAGATAATGACATGGCAACGTGACATGTCATCTCCTTGCCCAACCCAACAAAAGTGGGGCCCACCAAAATTACGAATTTGCCATCATCTTCTTCCT